TATGGCAGTTTAACCACCGCGGGAATTGACACTGTTGCCTCAGCATTCATTTGTGTGCATTTGCCAGGATCAGAAAAGTAGAGACTGGGATATCAGTGTCTTTAGCATCGCATGGAGTAGTGGACTTTTTTGGGTAATTATGCTTTTAGCTTTACTTTGTGTTTATGAAATTAAATTGAGTTGTATCATGTTTCCTTTTTGGCCATTACTTTATTTTTTCCTCATTGTTAGTACAGTCCTTTTCTAAACATTGTATATCGATATCTAATATGCATGTGAACTTGCATAAATCTACATGTACACACATGTATGTGTCTGTGTATATGTATGTATTTATGTATGTGGACATATGTATACATAATGATACACAAACTTTTGTACAAATCCAGTAAGATGCACATATAAGTAAATAATATGAAATACAGCTACAATAGAAACAAAATATTTCTCTTTCTGTTGTGGTAGTATTTCATTGTTTATACCTACATACATGCCATACTTATATGTATATTTACATTAAACAAACATGCATGTACACTCACTCACTCACTCATCCAAATATGAATACACATATAAATACAAGCAAATAAAAACACAAATATGCATACAAATGCAAACACGCACACGCACACGCACACACACACACGACACCACACACACACACACGCACGCAGCGCACACACACACACACACACACACACACACACACACACACACACACACACACACACACACACACACACACACACACACACACACACACACACACACACACACAACACACACACACAAATACAAACACATGCACACATAAACACACATATTTATATATATATATATATATATATATATATATATATATATATATATATATATATATATATATATATATATATATATATATATGTATGCATATATATTTTTTTCTTTTCTTTTTTTCATAATATGCTGTATATATGAATATGCATTTACGTTAACATTACATACAAACTTGTAGACTCATCTGCGTAGAAAATGTAGGAGCATAACCTGATAAGAAATGATAAGACAGGAACATTCTTTATTGTGAATGCTGATAGTGATGGCAGTCTATTGTGTTGAAGCCTTAACCATCAACTGACGCAGCTAATTATTTTATTTATGAAGTGATAAGTTACGCGCATTCGTTGACTTGATCGCAAGGCTCGTGCGAACCAAGGCACGTTGAGTTGCCTAGTGCTGACATTGGTGCCACGTGCCCAGGGTAGGAATTTGGCAGCAGGTGGTGCAGTACAATTACAGTGCTGTTCATATATCCTTTTATGTTGTAGTTTGAGTTTCAGTTGCCTATCCCTCCCCCTCCCCTTCCCACCTCTCACTCTCTTCTCCGTCTCTCCTCTACCGTCCCCCCTCCGTCTCCTTTCTTCCTCTCCCTCTCTTTATCCCTCTCCATATCCCTTTACCACTCTCTCTCACCTTCCCTCCCCCTTCTTTCTCTCTCCTCTCTCTCTCTCTCTCTCTCTCTCTCTCTCTCTCTCTCTCTCTCTCTCTCTCTCTCTTCTCTCTCTCTCTCTCTCTCTCTCTCTCTCTCTCTCTCTCTCTCTCTCTCTCTCTCTCTTTCTCTCTCTCTCTCTTTCCTCTCTCTCTTTTCCTGTCTCTTCTCTTTCTCTTTCTCTCCCCCTCTCTCCCTCTCCTCTGACACACGGACAGGGTGTAAGGGGTGGCAGTCGAACATTCGAGACGCGCCACATGCGTTTGGTGAAGGCTATGTTGTCGGGTTCCACCGTGATTAGATAGTGGTTATGATTTGTAATATAACCGCTCCACAGACTGCGTCCTTGCCAATAAAGTGATAGTACACTTACTACATCGTCTAGGGGACAAGTTTTAAGATTGAGATGGATTTAGGAGAGGAGTTTAAAGGTTGAAATGGCTGTAGGGGACTAGTTTGAAGGTTGGAATGAATGTGAAATGGTGATTTCGAGGTTTTGCTTCGAACACTGTAGAGGCAGGTGGCACGAGTAAGCTCCCCTTCCCTTGGTAGAAGAAGGAAGTTATTGTGTGCGCGTCGAATGTTCTAGACGCGTCTCTTTCGTGTTGAGCTCCGGGGGTCCCGGGAAGGTGAGTGTGGAGGGGAGGGGGTAGGACCCACGAGGTTTTGTTTATTTTCCGTTCTTTGTCCTCGGTATAGACAAGGCAGAATTTCTTTTCCTATTGTCCTGTCTTATTTTAAGAGTGGGTTTCGGTTTCAGAGTATGTAATGGCACTGTTGTTAGCCAGATCCTATTAAGACTTCAAGAGCACCTGCTAGGTTGGCACCAAAGAAAATTTATTGCAAGGGGTACTATCCTAAAATGTAAAAAACGGACACATCATTTTTATCTGTTTTTTGTGGAATTCATGCGAGAAATAAAGGACACAAGGTAATATTTTGGAAAACTTTAGCACGCATAGGAGAGGCAACGCCCAAAAGGCTTCCAGAACTCTCTCTCTCTCTCTCTCTCTCTCTCTCTCTCTCTCTCTCTCTCTCTCTCTCTCTCTCTCTCTCTCTCTCTCTCTCTCTCTCTCTCTCTCTCCTAATTCGTTGGATGGTGGATTCGATAAGATTCTTATAGATTTTTTATCGATAAAGTTTGTGGTTGAATGTAGAAAAAAATCCGTCTAATGTAATCTCTGGAGAGGCTAATACTAGTGTCTTGAGCTGTCCAGTTGATTCCTTTGTAATCTACTATATAGCGGTGTCAGCATGGGATGCTAGAGGACCATCCCCTGGGGTGGATGCCATGTTTACCCTCACCCTCCTCGCCTGGCCGGAGCGCCCCCTAGCCTCGGTGGCACGTCCCCAGAAGCCTAAACGCCACTTGTTGAGCTGCGCCGTGCCACCACACACTGGCTGTATATCTTGGAAAATTCTAGACTGGCGCGCCCCACCCCCTGGCAAACGGGGAGTCCAGGATTGCGTAGAGAGTGCAGTGTCCGCACGTCGAGAGTGAGAGGTAGAGAGCGCCAGGCAGAGAAGCCTTGCGTAACGTCACGGGAGTGATACTGAGAGTGGCATGAGCCAGCAGGAGACACACTTGTGACCGTGTGACGTCGTAGGAGGCACAGCGGGGACGTCGAAGTTTGCAGGCCACTTGCATTTAGCAGCACTTTGCAAGTAGTGTGCGGTGCAGTGAGTAGTGGGACGTTTCCAGTGGTGTACTTGTGATACTGACTCCACAGTTGTCTGCCGAGTTTGACCTGCAATGACGACAGAAATGGACAGTGCGTTTGCATCCCTCTACAAGGTACTACTCGACTGTATCTTTGATGAAATATACCCTAAATGCTTGCTCAGCACTGGCCTTGTATTCATTGTCATGCTTACATATTGTCTACTCAACATTGCGTGGAAGATGCCATGGCAGAGTAAACGTAAAGTGGCCAATCCACATATATATGATTGCTTATATTTTCGAATAGTTTCCCCCTCACTTGGAAACGAAATGAACATGCCCCTATT